TAAAAATGGTTTTGGAGGAAGATTTTAGAACAGATGCTTAGAAATAAGCTTTAAATGTATGTTGTAGGTGATTTATTGCTGACTTTGAGTACATTTATGGAGCACTGTGGTAAACCACAGCCTTTTCCCCAACTCATGCTTTAATTGAAAATAAATTTTGTCTCTTTTTTAAATGTTTAAAATAGCCGTTCGCTACTTGATGTGGTATATCTCATTTTGAAAAGTTTGAAAAAATATATAGTTAAAAAAAAAAAGAAAACCAAATTATACAGTATTGTAATTGTGACTCTAACTGTGCATAAACTTGGGCAAAAACAAGGAGAGAATGTAAGAAAAAAATTGGTGGAATTTAGAGTACTATATGTCCTTCAGTGTTTGCACAATAAAAGTTAGGAAGAGGGGAAAAGGTAAGACTAAGTTTATGACTTGAAAATACTAGCTGTTCCAGGCATAGCAATTATGAATAAATTATAAAAAGAGAAAACAAAACATAATAACAGGTTTCAGAAAGAGCCATAATATGATCTCTGTGGACCAGAAATCCGAAGTGGCATGTAGAGATTGATTATGCAGGCTTAGGACTCAAAAGCCCTAAGGTAGGCAGTGGACTGTGGCTCTTGTGTGGTAAAGGGGTCTAAAGGTTCTCCTCTTAAGATGAGGCACAGAGATCCTGATTCATTGCCTAAAGCTATAGGTAGGGAAGAAAGAAGGCTCTTGGGCTGTTGCTAAAGCCTTACTGGAAGTTGAAGGTTTAGGGACAAAAAGTAGAGAGTCACAGTCCTGACTAGGAATCAAGGCAAGGGATCAGTTTGTAACTGTTTTTACTATATCTCTAGAATTCTTGCCAGGAAGTAATTAACTGTGGCCAGCCATGTAGTAGAGTGGTTAAGCGTGGTACATAGGAAGTGGTCTCCCAGATGACAGACTGGATGTTCAAATCCTGGCTCCTGAAACCTTGGAAAACGTGCTAGGTACCTATATTTGTGTGACAAAATCCCTGACAGGATGGAGAAATGGAGGAAAAAGGATTGTGAAATGATCATACCTTTTGGGGGTGCTTTCTCTCTCTCTTGCAAACACCCTCTGCAAAAAAAAAAAAAAAAAAAAAAACCAAAAAACAAAAAGCCAAAACCAAAAAAACCCCCTCAACAACGAAACTACCTTTGTAAGAGTGATACTAAATTGGGACCTTGGAAGGCTGGTAGGAGATAACCTGAAAACTGCTAGTTGGAGATAGGTGAGCATAAAAAATAAAACATAGTATGATAGTACTGCTTGCATTGTATTCTATGGAATTGTTCAGTGTTTCTGATGGAGGGAGTGGAGAAGAGGGAGCAAAAATCAAAAAGCCGATGCCTCAGAATGAGTAAACAACCAGAATTCTAGAGAATGTCTAAGAAATCTAATCTTAAGCCAGACAACCAGTAAATTGAATAATTATGATAAGAATCTACAGGTGAAATTTAAATTTGTAAAACTGGTGAATAAAAACATTTATATGTGCTAAGGATGTTTGAAGAAATAAATCAATATAAACTTAAAAAATACTGGGGTCAGTAGGTTGTGTGGTGGTTAAGGTGCTAAACTCCCACAGGGTCAACCACTGTTTGAATCCGAGACCTGGTGGCTTACTTTCTCACTTTCCCTCTCTCTCTCTCTCTGTCTCTCTCTGGTCAAATTACAATAATAAGTCTTTTAAAAAACAAATATTAAGTTAAAAGAAATATAATGAAATCAGACCTACTAGATAAGAAGAAACATCTAGTTAGAAAATTTTGAAATTGGAAAAAATATATGGTTATTGAAACTAAAAAAGCAATAGAGAAAAGAAACTTCAAACTTGATATAGCTAAAGATTGACTCTGGAAGGTATTAATAGTGCTGAGAGACCTCACCCAGAACATAGTACATTGCTTACTCACATTTATCTAACATGAATTTCAGGAGGAAAGAAATGGAGGGGATGGTGGGCAAGGACTATTTGAACAGTTAACTGATCAGAATTTCTTAGAATTGAAGAAGTTCAAGAGTCCTCATATTGAAAATATATTATAAATAATAATAAGGTAAAACAAAAATAAATTCAGACCTAAACTTAAAAAAATATTAAAAGCTGAGAGGTATTTCTTTTTTCTCATGTCTTTGAAATTAGAATGTATCTTCAACTGATATTATCATGTAATTGTTGGTAAAGTGCTCTTTTTGGTGTAGTTTGATTGCTTGCACAAACTTGGTTGCATGACTGGATAGCTGTAACATTTTGATGTGTCAGTTGAAAAACCAGGATTGTTTAAGGAAAAAATAGATTTTTAAAATTTTTATTTATTTTTATTTTCTTCCATAGGCAAGAGAGGCAGGGAGGGGGAGAGAGAGAACACACCCAATAGGGTTCTGATGCTACACTCCATCTCCAACCTGAGCCAGCTTTGGATCATAGGTACAGAAATGTCCGGCATACTCAGGGAGGTCTCTAGACTTGAACTGGGAGCCTTACTATATAGGGTTACCACAGAGAGGTGTGATATTTTACCACTGTACCACCATCTGGCACCGAGGAAGGAATAGTTCTGATTGTTGTCTGAAGTTTTTGATAAGATCAAAATATGGACATAAAAGTGGAGACTTTTTTTTAAGGTATTTGCCATGGGGTGCGTGCACTCACTGGAGAGAGAGAAAGAGAGAGAGAGGGAGGGAGGACAAGTGAGAAATCACCCCCCAGTGGGGGTAGCCACGCTGCAATTCCTTCCCCTCTTGGGATTTTGGGCATACATATACATGCACACACACCTAGCATGATTTTCTAGCTGATGGGTTCAGGGCTTAAACCACGGTTGGCCCTGTGGGAGTCTAGCACCTTAACCATTGTGCTACTTGCTGGCCCCAGTAGTGGAGCACTTTTAAGGAATGCTGTGTCACTAATGCTCTTAATGATATTGAAGATAATATAATTTAAGAAGCTCACTGATCTCTGAATTAGAAAGTAATTGAGGCCCCACTATGGTGGAGCAGGTGATAGGGTGCTCCTGTGATTTTGAAGCCATATGGATGACTTAGTTTTGGATCCTGAGTTGACCTGAACACACTACTGGTGCACCCATGTGTGTCTGTTTATCCTGGCTGACTGGGAGGTTGGGGGAAGATTGAGGCCTAGCAAGACCCAGTTGGAAATACCTGTGTCTGTTGGTCTCAAATAAACAAACAAACTAACTTAAAAAATAATAAAAGAAAGTAATTGAGAAGTGTCAGAATTTGAATAGAAGGTTTAAGGGTATCTCAATTTAATTTCCTTTTCTTTTTATTATATTCTATATCCCATAAGAGTGATATCACACATAATTAGTATAGAATAAAAATCTATATGTAAGTCAGTCTAAAAGAGCTCTTTCAATAAGTACAAAATAAAAATTCTAAGGATAAAAAAGCATTTTTCATGGCTTAGTTGACAACATTAAAAAAAAGTTTTAGTGGGATGCAAGATAATGGTATACCTTGCAATTAATAGTATACCAGAGTTAATATACTCAAATATGTACATTAGGTATAACTCTTAAAAGAATGGAAATATAATCTCAGTCTTCTAAATCAGCAGAAGGAAGGGAACATTCAAATTTTTTGTAACCTAAGATGAGAGAAGAAGAAAATAAAGAACAGTAAACAGAAAACTCAAAATAAATGGAAAGAAACTAATCCAAATATATAAATGATCATAATACATTTAAGTATTTTAGACTTACATAGTAATAGACTGTCAAATTGAAAAAAATTATGTAAAACAGCATTCAATATTAGGAGAATATTTTGTATAATGTAATACTATATAGCAGCATTTCAAATAAATGAACTAAGTGGGATGCAATAATAGATCTGAGATTTAAAATACTCTAGCAAAAGAAGTTGGGAGAGGAAGAATAGATTGAACTTTGGAGCTAGGTGATGGGTTCTGGGGTCCATTAACCCTCTTTGGTGTAATTTCTGTGAAAAAGTTAGAAAAGGAGCGGGCTAAGATGATGTATATTAACATAGATAAGTCTAAAAAGCATGAGGTACAAGAAAAGTAAGTTTTCAGAATAATATGTAGAATTTGAGGCCTTTTGCATAAACTTTAGTTCTGTAAAGAAATACTGTTTATATATAAGTAAATAAGTGTTAGAGCCATGTGTGGGGGCCAAGCGCTAAGAACGTGATGGAAATTAGCTTTGCTGGAATGAGACTGGTAAGAACATGGAGCCTCATTAGTCTATGTGATATTTACTTAGTCTTTTCCAAAAAATAAGGAGGAGGACCAGATTTCAAAATAAAATAATAACTTAAAAATTTATCAGCCAGAAGGGTCAGTTTACTTAAAATATGTAATATACATACATGCCACGCAGTGGTATGGTTTCTATATCATTAATGTAAATGTCGACTAAATTAATTGAAACTTTCCTGAGAGTCAGAGTCCCATTTTTCATTTTTTTTTCACTATAGGGCACATGCACTCGCCAGACAGAGAGAGACATAGAGACAGAAAGGGAGAAATCACCCCCCAGGGGAGGTTGGACATGCCACAATCCCTTCTCCTCCATTCTCCTCTCAGGATCTTAGGCATGCATGCACATGCGCCCAGTGTGAGTTTTAAGCCACCGGGTCTGGGACGCGAACCGCGGTCAACTACGTGGGAGTCCAGCGACATAGCCGTTACACTAACTGCTGGTTCCCTGTTTTGTTTTTATAAAACCCTAAGTGCCTAAAATGTAGTAAACACTTGAAAAAAATATGTGGTAACTAGAGGAGACACATAAAGAAATGATTCAGAGTCTTTAGGCATAAAGTTTATTTAATACTGTGCAATGATTTGGATGAAGTTAAAGGATTTCTGTTCAGCTAACATACTGAGTAAGGACTGTTGCATGTCGTGAGTACCAATCCAGTTTCTGCCTCCCTTGCTTTTGATGGGGCGGGCAGCTTAGAGGAAAAAAGGTCATTGCACAGTTGCAAATGTTTTTGTTTTGTTACAGGCAGCTGTTAAATCTAAGAAAGCTACAGATACCTATAAGCTCTATGTGGAAAAATATGCATTAGCAAAAGCTGATTTTGAGCAGAAAATGACAGAAACAGCTCAGGTAGGTATCTTTAAGGTTTTAAATGAAAACCTGGGTGTTTATATTTGTATACAGTAGTTCCCCCTTATCTGTGGTTTTTGTAGTCTGACATTTCAATTACACTGCAGTATAGTACAATAACATAGTTTGAGACAGAGAATACGTTCATATAAATTTTATTGTATATTGTTATTTTTATATTATTGTTGTTAATCTTTTATTGTGCTTAATTTATAAATTAAATTATTGTGTGTATGTGTAGAAAAAAATATAAGCTGTATAGGGTAAGGGTTTAATACTATGTACAGTTTAAGTATCCACTAGTGTTGGATTCCTCATGGATAAGGGGGGGAGGGAGGGAATCTTCTATACTGATTTAAATGATAGAATTTTTCTGTCATGTAATTTTTTAGTATTGGAATTTAAATGTCCAGTCTCAATGTTTGATTTTATTTATTTATTTATTTTGGAGAGATATTTTTTGCTACAGGGCATGTGTGCTCGCCAGAAAGACAAAGAGAGACAGAGAGATAGAAAGAGAGAAATCACTCCCCAGGTGGGATGGCCATGCTGCAGTCCCTTCTCCTCCATTCTCCTCTTAGGATCTTTGGCACACACACACATGCCCCGGTTGTGAGTTTAAGCCACCAGGTATGGGACTTGAACTGCAGTCGACTACATGGGAGTTCGGCAACATAGCCATTACGCTAACTGCTGGTCCCCAGTCTCAATGTTTTAATAATACTATTTTAAAACAATTATTTTGTCTTGGAGATTGTGGATAAAGATGTAATAATTGTAATATTATAAGGAATTATGCAGATAGATTAGAAGAAGCTGTTTAAAGATAATTGAGGAAAATGAGGGCTTTGGTAGACAATGGAGACAATGCTGATTGTTAACTCTGTATTGTGGATTTTGAAGATTTCTACTTGAGGAGCAGACTGAGCGACTTCAATGCTGAGGATATGAAACAGTAAACAAAGCAGTTAAAAAATCCTTCTTTTACACTTTTTACAATAAAAAGTGTCTGTCTTCCATATGCTTTAGATACATTATATCTGATTTGATTCTTAGACTTTAATTAAAAGCCTAATTTGGGGCTAGCAGGTGGCATGGTGGTTAAGGGTGCTGGGCTCCTACATTGCTGACCGTGGTTCAAGTTCCGGACCTGTCGACTTGCTTTCTGGTCAAAATTAAAAAATAATGATAATAAATAAGTAATTCTTGGACCAGCAGTTGGTGTAATGGCTTTGTCGCTGGACTCCCATGTAGCCACCACGGTTCGAGTCCCGGACCCAGTGACTGAAACTCACACTGGACACGTGTGCATATGTGCCCAAGATTCCGAGAGGAGAATGGAGGAGAAGGGATTGCGGCGTGGCCGTTCCCCCAGGGGTGATTTCTCGCTTTCTGTCTTTCTGTCGAGCGCATGCTCCCTATAGCAAAAACCTCTCCAAAAAAAAATTCTTAAAAAATAATTAAAGCCTCGCTTAAGATAGGGTTGCCTTTTATGAATCATACCTAACATTTTCCACCCCTACCGTTCTTATCCTCCTTTTTGTTTCATTTTTCTTTTTAGTACCTATTATCATCTGGTATGCCAAGAATTTCATTTCCAGTATCAGTCAGGGCAGGTTAAGTTATGCTGAGGTGACAGCACTCTAGACATCTCAGGGGCTTATAGTGTCAGGTTTTACTTCTCCTTTGTGCTATGTGATTGTCAGGGGTTGGCTGCAGCTCTTCTACATTGTCTTCATTCTGATACTGGGGTTGCTGGTGGAAACTTTATTTTTAGACAGTATTTCTGAGGGGCTAGAAACTTCTACTCATATGTGTTTTTGTTTGTTCGTTTTTTTGCTATAGGGCACGTGCACTCGCCAGAGACAGAGAGAGAGGGAGGGAAAGTGAAAAAGCACTTTCCCCAGAGGGGATGGCCATGTTGCAATACCTTTTCCTCCGTTCTCTTGGGATTTGGGGCATGCATACACACGTACCCAGTATCTTTAAGCTGGCAGGTCTAGGACTCGTGTGCTTGCCAAAAAGAGGGAGACAGAGAAACGGAAAGTGAGAAATCACCCCCAGGGGTGGATGGCCACACCGCAATCCTTTCTCTTCTATTCTCCTTTTGGGATCTTGGGGCATGCACACAAACATACCTGGCATGAATTTAAGCCCACCGGGTCTGGGATTCGAACTGCGGTTGACTACATGGGAGTCCAGTGACATAACCATTATGCCATCTGCTGGTCCCTTGATTTTTTGTTTGTTTACTGCTGTGTCTTCAGCATTTGAAATATATGATTCCCAGCTCTCCTGGTAGGGACTCGGTAAGTATTAAAGGAGGACTATAATGAATCTGTTTTTTTGACTCTAACTTTTCTTTTTGTCTTTTCATTGAAAGTTGTGAATGACTCACATCTTAGAAACCAAAGGTTATGAATTCTTGTATGTGTGTATGTGTGCATTCATCTTTGCCCACCATTTCCTAGGCACTGTCCTGGATGCTGGGTGTATATGGTATATGTACAAATAATACAAATATCTTCCTGTTCTAGGTGGGGTTTACAGTATAGAGGAGGGAAACAGACATTAAATACATGTTTAAATATAAAGTTATAAATTATTATAAATATTACAAAGGAAAAAAATGGGCATCCATGAGATAGATAGTAGAAGTAATCTAATTTGGATTAGGGAGCCAAGAAAGGCCTTTTTTGGATAAATGACATTTAAAAATGAGACTTTAAGACTGTAAGTAAGAGATTGGTAGGGTAAGAGTCTTTTAGGCTGTGGAGACCATGGATATGAAGACCCAGAGGTGTAAAAGAGCTATTACATTCTAGAAAGTAAAAGACGCTTACTAAAACTGAGAAGAAAGTTCTGAGAAACGAGAATAAAGGGATAGGCAGCTACCAAGTTTTAGCAACGGTTTAGATCTTCTTTTAAGAGGAGCTAAGCTACCTCAGGCTTTAGTCAGGGATGCAAAACGATCTGATCTGAATTTGAAAAGATTATTCTGGCAGTACTGCCAAAGGAGAATCTGGAGTCCAGTCAGGATGGAATATGGTAGTCAGAGGAAAAGACTTAGTTAGGGACAGTGTGGTGGACCTGAAGGAGGAAAGTGAACGAATTGGAGACAGCAGAGGTGTAGGTAGAGGAATTCTGTGAGAGATCAAGATCACTTCCAGGCTTTGGCTCATAAATATATGTGGATAGATATAAAATGGGAAAGACTAGAAAAACTGTTAGTTTGATGGGTAGGAAAATATCAGTTGTTTAATTTTGAAAATGTTAATTTTAAGATGCCTATTAGATAACTAAGTGGAGACATCACGTGGACAGTTTATAAGAACCAAGTGATCTGGACCGTCCATTGTTCTTCACCCATAATTCTGAATCCCCAAAACTCTGAAACCAAATGTTTGTTTCTATAGCACATTAGGCAGTGAAACTTGATCTGAACTGGTTGACGTGAGGCTATTCATAGTCTGTTTATCCTGCTTAGACTGAATGTACATACATTTTCGTCTAGAAATAATAATGTGTTTGATAAACAGATGCAGATCCTGCTGGTAGTATGAAATACATGGCATTTTTCATTTTCATTTTCATCTTTCATAATACTGTGTATCATTTTTTTAGGATGCATTAGCTCAACAGGGAGACTGTGAGAAATCCCCAAGGGGGATGGCCACACTGCGCATTCCCTTCTCTTCCATTCTCCTCTTGAGACTTTGGGCTCACACACACACACACACACACACACACACACACACACACAATGTGCGAACATGAGTTTCTAGCTACTGAGTCCGGGTCTCAAACTGTGGTCAACCACTTGAGAGTCCAGTGCCTTTAACCACTATACTGCCTGTTGGCCCCTACACCAGTGTATCTTTAAAATTAGTTTAAATTCTAAAACCTGGTCCTAAAGATTTTGACTAAAGGTGCATGAGCCTATATTATTGGGAATGCTAAAAAATGTTTTTCTTTACAAAAATGCATCATGGCTTTTCCAATGACCCAATAAGTAGGGTGTTTTCAATACACAAGGTAGTGATAACATCATTTTGATTAGAGCATAGGTAAGAAGGGACCTCAGGATCAAGCTATGAAAGACTCTTCATTGACAGTTTGGTAGAAGAAGGCATGTTGAGATATAAGAGGAGAACCCAAGGAAGGAGGAAAATCAGGAAATGTAGTGTCATGGCAGCTGTGAAAAGATAATTCTTCAAGAAGGGTTTAGTTCATTAAATTTTTTACAGCAGCTAAGGTCATTGTAGACTTGAGCAAACTGTTTTGTCCTTTAAATGATTAGGACCACTCATTTATTGTGTGGCAATTATTGTTGATTTGTTAATTTTACATTAAAATGATTAGTTTTCAATCAATGAAAATGTTTGCTTTTCAGTTACTTATTTTAATTGGAAAAAAATTAGAACTTACTAGTCAGAGTTTTTAATTTGTTGATGTTACTTTTTTCTTAAGAGTTATTTACTTATTTTAGTTATCATTATTATTATTTTGCTATAGGGCATGTGTGCTCACCAGAGAGAGAGAGAGTGAAAGAGAGAGAGAGAGAGAGTGAAAGAGAGAGAGAGAGAGAACAAGCTACCAGATTCAGGTCTGCCATGTGAGAGTCTAGTGCCTTAACCACCATGCCACCTGCTGGGCCCAGTGTTGATATGATTTTATAAAAAGGAATCTTCAGCATCCATCTCCTTGTTTCATTGTTTTCCTATTACCTTGTCCCTCCCTCCCACAGATGGCATTTTAGTTGTTTATCCTCCCATTTTCTAGTTGGGAGCATTAATTTATTTGAACTTAGCTGTGATTGTTACTTTTAAACAAAGATAATGGTATACCTTACTAATGTGTGTGTTTTTCTCTCTTGATTTCTCTTTGTCTCTGTCACACACACACACACACACACACACAGCTGCAATACAAGGTGACTACTGTTTCTTAATAGAGAATAGTCTTTAATTTGGGTTACTTAAGAAGTCAAGAGAATCCATTTACTTCTTCACTTTCCTTTTGTTCCAGACTAGCCAGGTTGACCTAATCTCAGTGGGAAGGAACATGACAGTATATTGAGAATCAAATTTGGGTGGCAGGACCTGTAATTAATAGAAAAGAAATTGAATCCTTGTGGTAAAAGAAGTTAGAATTTACTTAGGGTATTTGAGATTTAAGTTCTCTTATAAGAATGATTGAAATTGTGACTTTTTTTGCTCTCTCTTTTTTTTTTTAACCATTTTTAATGGGAGATTGGAAAAAAGTTGAAACAGAATGCAGATACTTTGTGTACTTTAAAGCTATGAAATGGTTAGTTTATGGAAACTTTGAGATTTGCTATAAACAACACCCTCAGATTAAGAATTTTAAGGATCAGGGTACTTTTAAATATCTTTAGTGGGTGACAGGATTGTATTTTTTTAAAAAAAAATAATGTAAGAATGGATGCAAATAGTAAATTTGAAATTAAAAGAGAAAAAAGCCTGTCTAATTTATTGAAAAAGTTTATGTATATTCAAACATTTGAGGCTGTTTTCATTTCCCATCGCTGAATTGTTCTGAGTTTAGAAGACACTAATTTTGAGAAATTGTGGTAGTTAGCATTGCTCATCTCTCCAAATACCACACTTCAAAATTACATCTGAATCATGTTTTGATTCATGCTTCAAAGTAGCATTTATAATTAATGGGAGATATGCCTGTTCAGTGGAGATATATCAAAAGGGAATGAAGACAAGTTCCTTGGAGTTAGAAATCACCAATTTGAAATTAATGGCTATCTGACCGAATTACAGTGTTTATCAAGCCTGCCTATTTGTGGGAAAAATACCTTGTTCATTAAATAGCTAAAATTTAAGCTGAGGGTGTTGTTATGATCTTAGAATCAATATCCTACTAAATATTCCTCAGTTCTTTTTTTTAATTAATTATTTTTTTTTAGAGAGGTGTTTGCTATAGGGCACGTGCACTCACCAGAAAGAGAGAGACAGAGGGACAGAAAGCGAGAAATCACCCCCTCATGGGGGGATGGCCACATGGCAATCCCTTTTCCTCCATTCTCCTTTCAGGATCTTAGGCATGCACACACACGCGCCCGGCTCGAGTTTAAGCCACTGGGTCCTCTACTCGAACCGCAGTCAACTACATGGGAGTCCAGTGACATAGCCATTACACCAGCTGCTGGTCCCAATATTCCTCAGTTCTTGGGAGTGATTGAGGATCTTGAAAATATCGGTATTCTCATTGACTTTGTCAGAATTAATCAATGACAAGTATCCTATTTTTTCCCTAAACAGTTATTAATTATTTATTTAATTTTATTTATCATCATTATTATTTCTTAGTTAGATACAGGGCCCATGTGTTCAAATGAGAGAGAGAGAGAGAGAAAACGCACGTGCAAGAGAGGGGAAAGTGAGGAAGCAAGCTGGCTGGTCCAGGACTCAAACTGCAGTTGTGTATGTGGGAGTCCCAGCACCTTAACCACCTCACCACCTACTGGCCCTACAAGGATTCTCTTAGGTTGTTGGGACAGTCATGATGCATTTTTGTATAGAAAAACAGAACAATATCTCATGACTTTCCCAGTGACCTAATATTTTTACTCTACCATTCCTCCTGAATAAAGTTGATTCAAGTTTTTGGATTATTGTCTTACTGCTCAAACTATAATTTTATCAGTATTGATTTTTAGATGTTAATACTATTAATATTTACACAAACATGGATACAATTTAGCTTAGTGATTTCTGACTATGCAATGCAATGCTGAAAAAATTAGGACATTGAATATGGGATAAGGGAATTTAATTTGATTAACTATAGAAAAACAAAACATCCCTTAGAACTGATTTAATTTGGCAAAAAACATGGTAATTGGGTTTGTGCATTAGAAACGGTAAATGTGTTTTGTTTGAAAATGAGTAGTTCAGCATTTTTTAAATGCAGTTTTGAGAAATATTATTTTTCTGTGAGATATTAATAGATTTTCAGGAAAGAGGAAAAACAAAAAGGGCTATCAGGTCAAAGAAATTTAGGAAATGCTGCGTAAGACAAAGGGAAGCAAGTTTCGTACTTTTGGTATTTTTCAGAGGTTTTTTCCTGCTTTTTAAAAAAGAATTATTTTTAAATTTAATGTAAATATTCATTTATTTTAATTTGACCAGAGAGAGACTCATGGCGGGGGGGGGGGGGGTTGGTGGTGAGAAAGCAAGCCACCCAGTCTGGGTGGTTGGCCATGTGCGAGTGTCCAGCACTTTAACCATCATGCCACCTGCTGGTCCCCTCAGAGATTTTGATATGTTTATCGTGATGCCAAGGCCAGCAGTGTTTTTTTTTTTTTTTTTTTTTTTTTAAAGAATTATTTTTGTTTAACTGTATTTATTTTTTAATTTGACCAGAAAGGGGCAGATTGAGAGAGAGAGAGAGAGAGTGAGAGTGAGAAAGCTTAAGCCACCAGGTATGGGACTCAACCTGCAGTCAGCCATGTGGGAGTCCAGTACTCTTAACCACAATGCCACCTGCCACCTGTTGGCCCTCAACAGTGGTTTGTTCTCTGGGGAGCAAATATCAATGTAACTTGAAAATTTCTTCCAAAAATGTTCTCGTCTCTTTTATCCCCATTCCCAGGCTTTACAGGAGGATCATTGTGTTTCATAGTTTAAAAGCATTCTTCAGTTGGACTGTTGCATCCCTATCTTTAGTTGAGAACTGAGATAGAGTATATAGACTTTCCAAATTTCTTTGATCCCAAACTACCTCTTTTTGAGACTCTTTAACATTTCAGGTTTTAGGAAGGCATTTTAATAATCTGTAGACTAGATTACAAAGCCTAGAAGTAAACTGGAGGTTTTGCTTTGTTAACTAAGTGTTTCTCAGTTTTGATACTCTTCTCCCTTGGCTTTTGTAGCATTATTCTCTTCTGAGTGTCCTTCTAATTTTCTGACCATAATTGTAGATTTTTACTTGTAGTATCCCCAAAATATGAAGAAGTTCATACTTGTCTAAGAAATGGTGTGGGACCAGCAATTAGCATAATGGCTATGTTGCTGGACTCCCACGTAGTCAACCGCGGTTCGCATCCTGGACCCAGTGGCTTAAAACTCACGCCGGGCGCGTGTGCGTGTGCGCCCAAGATCCCGAGAGGAGAATGGAGGAGAAGGGATTGCAGTGTGGCCATCTCCCCTGGGGGGTGATTTCTCGCTTTCTGTCTCTCTCTGTCTGTCTGACGAGCGCACGCGCCCTATAGCAAAAACCTCTCCAAAAAAAAAAAGAAAGAAAAAGAAATGGTGTAACAAAATGTTAGATTTTTCTCAATAGCGTATTTCATATGTGTAGCTGCTAGATCCACTTTTCTAGAAGCATCGTTAAACATTGTGTAATTTAAAAAAAGGGGAAAAAATTACGTAATGATAGTATGCTAATTTTTGTTATTTATATTAAGGTGATTTCTAAAACCTCATGATTATAGAAATATTTAGTTACATATGTATGAGTGTTTAGATGATATATATAAAATGTAATATATGTAACTTTTTATATCATTACCCAGAAATTTCAAGATATTGAGGAAACTCATGTCATCCACATAAAGGAAATTATAGGATCCTTGTCAAATGCTATAAAGGAAATTCATTTACAGATAGGTCAGGTAAGTTTTTTACTTTATATTAAGCTGATTCAGGCCAGCCGGTGGCATGGTGGTAAAGATGGCTGGATCCCTTATGGCTAACTGCATGGTTGAGCCGGGACCTGGTGGCTATGAAAAACATGTCAGGTGTATGTGCACTCCCAAAATCCCAAAAGGAGGGAAAAGAGGAGAAGGGATTGTGGTGCAGCTATCCTCAACAGGGGGATGCTTTCTTACTTTTCTCCCTTCCTTCTGTGTGTCTCTGACAAACACCTGTGCCCTCTGGGAAAAATTAAAGAAACAAAATGAAACAAAACTGATTCACGAAAAATTTCTGTTTATTCATTCCTTCGTAAAAAGTTTTTATCCCTCTTTCCAAAAATCATAAGTTTGTCAATGAATTAGTTCCAATAAAGAACGTGTGTTGAAATTGGATTTTTGATCGACCAAGGGTGATAATTTAAATTAATTTTTAGAATTAACTGTGATAAATCCTTTATACAGTGCATTCTTTTCTTCTCTTTCCTTTTCTTTTTGGAGGTTTTTGCTATAGGGTGCCTGCACTCACTAGAGAGACAGAGAAAGACTGAGAGATAGAAAGTGAGAACTCAGCCCCCAGTGGGGATGGCCATGCCTCAGTCCCTTCTCCTCCAGTCTCCTCTCGGGATTTTGGAAACACATGCACACGTGCCCTGTGTGTTTTTAGCTGCCAGGTCCAGGACTTGAACTGCAGTTGACTACATAGGAGTCCAGCAATGTAACCATTATGCCATCTGCTGGTCCCTACATTGAATTCTAAGTATATCAGTTTTGGAATATTTATTTTTTCAAATTTTACTATTTTTATTTTTGAGAGGTTTTTGCTATAGGGCACGTTTGCTTGTGAGAAAGACAGAGATAGAGAGACAGAAAGTGAGAAATCATGCCCCGGGGAGATGGCCATGTCGCAATCCCTTCTCCTCCATTCTCCTCTCGGGATCTTAAGTACGCACGCACACACGCCCAGCGTGAGTTTAAGCCACCGGGTCCAGGACTCGAACCATAGTCAGATACATGGGAGTCTAGCGACACAGCCATTACACCAACTGCTGATCCCTAAATTTTGCTATTTTTAAATTCAGAGTAACAACTTCATTATGTTAGTTCATAGAACTTGTTCTTAGAAATGTTCCAAAAATATGAAAGAGGTTTAATGATGACAGTTGGAGTACATTGAAATACAATAGAGAAAGGTGAATTGTTTTATTCTTAATTATTGAAACTCTAAAATTGTTTTTATTGTCCATATAAGCTTTAGGTATCATGAATTACGTTTAAAACATTTAAAGATGGGAACAGGAAACTGCCTGGATCTTTAAGGATGGCATATGGTATGGGTTTAATATAAGCTGTAGTGGATCCTTGTACATGTACTAACACTTAAGTTAGGTAACAGAACATATTAGGTTGTCCAAAGTCCTTAGGTCAAAAAAATACATATTTTGGTATAATGAATTTTATTCGCTTTGTGAAAATTTTATCTGAGATATATTGAGAATGTGGATGGAGGAAAAATTTATCTTTATTCCACTTTAATAGGTTCATGAAGAATTTATAAATAACATGGCTAATACTACAGTTGAAAGTTTGATACAGAAATTTGCTGAGTCAAAAGGCACTGGCAAGGAGAGACCTGGTAAGATGATAAACTCTTGAAGAAACATTTTTAAATTTCCCATTCATTTTGTCTTTAAATTCATATGCTAAGGTGATAATTTTAACTTTATATAACATGTCGGAACTGAGTAACATTTCCAGACTATCAATATAAAATGAAATCAAACCTAAAAATGTACCTACCTAAAAATGATTGTGAAATTTCAGATAATTATTTTATTTTTGTTTGAAGATACATTAAGATTTTTGTTTTGGCCTTTACTGGTTAATATTTGGTGTTAAAATAAAAAAATGGTTATTGTAGGGAACCAGCAGTTAGCGTAATGGCCATGTCGCTGGACTCCCACGTAGTCGACTGCGGTTCGCATCCCAGACCCGGTGGCTTAAAACTCACGCCGGGTGCATGTGCGTGCGTGCCCAAGATCCCAAGAGGAGAATGGAGGGGAAGGGATTGCAGCGTGACCATCCCCCCTGGAGGGTGATTTCTTGCTTTCTGTCTCTATGTCTCTCTGTGTCTGTCTAGCGAGCGCACGTGCCCTATAGCGAAAACCTCTAAAAAAAGAATGGTTATTGTAATCTTAATTAATCTACTATATAATTTCTTTAGATTTTTGAAAGTAGAGTTAACGGTAGAAGGCTATTTATAAGAAAGATTGGGAAAGAATATTGAACCCTTAGAGCATTCAGGCCAACATAGAACCCTTCTTAAAATGTAATAACTTCTTTTTTTTTTCCTCATTGATATATACATTCAAAAAATAAATTTCTTGAGTGCTGACAGTATTTTAGACATTGTAGATAAACCATTGAACTAATGGATACAGGAAACCTGGTTCCTGTCCTTATGAATAAATGATTACAGGAATACCAAGTTTTACTTTAAAAAGCATTTTATGATATTTACTTCTTACAAAAAGCATTTCATGATATGTAAGATCTATTCTCCATCTCTGCTCAGCATACTTAGTGTTTCAAATTTCCTAACTGTATTTAATAGTTACTATACTATATTCCTACAAGATATTTGTTTCACTATGCAAGTAAAAATAATTTAGTCCAGCAAAGGGGTTATATGGTGCAGAATTTAGGAAAATGGATAAGTGATTTGTGGAGAAGCCTAGGAGTCATTTTTCTTCAGATTTTGATAGAATGAAAGTAGAGACATATTGGCTAGTTAAAAATGCCTTAGATGATGGGGCCAGCAGGTGGTGTGCTGAATAAGGCACTGGACTCCCATGGCTGACCCCAGTTTGAGTCCCACACTTGGCAGCCTGCTTTTTCACTCTCTCTCCCTCCGGTGAGCACATGTGCCCTACAGCAAATTAAATAAATAATAATAATAATAATAATAATAATAATAATAATAATAAAAAATAACAATGAATACTTCTTTTAAAAAATACCTTAGATGGGACCAGACAGTGATATAACAGTGAAACACAATGTTCTGTAAGGCATCCCACATGGGAAGGTTCCCAGTTCATGTCCAGAGATTTCCCTGAATGTGCCAGGTGCATATTTGCCCATGATTGAGGGCTGACTGACTGAAGGCTAGGAGTGGATTGTGGTGTCAAGACCCTGTTGGGGGTGTTGTCTGTCTGTCTGTCTGTCTGCCTGTCTCTAGCTCATTCATGGAGGAAATGAATAAACCTTAAAAAAAAGGAAGGAAGGAAAAATATGCCTTGGATGGAAATACAGATTATATTGTTGTTTTGCAAAATGGTATCATTGTGGAGAAATGGGGTAATATATACAAGGGATCCCCCTGCATTATCATCTTTTTAAAGTCTATTTATCATATTTTGAGTGAGAGAGACACAGAGACAGTCAGACATCCTGGCAGACTTTTTGAACAGCCGGGATCCAGACCCCTGGTATCTTCCACATGGTTTCCAGCATTGCAGAGCAGTACCCTAGCACCTGGGCCATGGAAGCTATACCTCTGTATTATTTTTTTATCCCTATACATGAATCTAGAGTTATCTCAAGTAAAGTTTCAGTGAGAAAAAGCCTTGAAACCAGGGAACTTGAGTTGAAATGTGAATCCAAACCGATGAACCATAACCTCTTTGTCCTCCTGAGTCAAATGATCCAAAGTACATTTTAACAAATAGAGAAGTCATCTTGAAGTGCATCTTGTATTTAAAGAATATAGAGAATCAGCATGAAGTGGATCAGTATTAAACCAGGGAATAATTGAACATTAAAAGATATTCTGAATCAAGCCAATTTAAAAAAATTAATTTATCTTTAAAATTTTGCCAGAGGTACTCTGGCAAAATGCACTCCCCAGAGAGAGAGAAAAAGGGAGAGGGAGCAAGCAACTTCCATGGGGAATGGACACGCTACAGTCCCTTCTCCATTTCCTCATCCTGTCTGGGTTTAGAGCATGCATACAAACTTGCCTGTCATCTTTCTCAAGCTGCCAGGTCTGGGAATCAAACTGTTGGGTCTGCTGTGCAGGATCTGGTTGCCTTAACCATGAGACCACGGAGCTCGCCCATCAAATTTTTGTTTTGATAGGCATTTTTCAGTGGTATTTTATCTCTTCCCGGATGTACCATCTCCCACTTTTACTTTGGCTTCTTGGGCTCCTCGACTGTTTCTTTGTTTCTATGCCAGTACCATTTCCTAAGACACTGCTTAGCCAAGAGCAGACAGTTATGTGGCATGTGTCCTGCCATCATTTATGACAGATACCATATTAGGTCATTGCATTCTTCATTCAGAGAAGACCTCAGCATCGTTCTCATCACAGTGCTGCAAGCAGGCACTGCCAGTATTGAGAATTGGCACATATGTTGAAACCTGTCATTTTTGGCTTAGTTCAATAGAGACTCTGTTGGCAAATGCCACTAAGCCAATTTAAACAAGCTTAAGCAAAAATGTTATGCATCTACTTTTTTAACCTGGAAGGACTGGAGTGGATTCAGTGACCAAATGGATGGCATTAAGAAATTATTTCACTTTTTCTCCTCATATTTGCTTGTCTGTGTGGCTTCAGTTTCTTAAACTTCTACTGTAAGCTTTCTTCCTATTCCTAGAAGGGAAGCTGTCAACAACCTCAAGCCTGTATCAACTCAGTTTAAAATCCTAGTTGTAGAGACTTTTTTTCCTTAGTGTCAGCATATTAATTTCAGGGAAGTTGCTCTTTTTGTCACATGCTTGTTTTTGAGTTAATCACTGTGTTTAGGAGGTAGTGAGATATTACAATTGGTCAACATAAGTCACTTTCTCAGACCAAGAGGAAGCAGATTTTGTAACCTAAAACGGATATGGACATGATTTCTTAGCAGAGATACACTGCCATAGTGCATCGTAGAATTCATATACAAAGCACTGAAGATACCAAGTGCCAAAATCAAACCTTTTAGAATTAAAGTAGTTTGTATATGTGTTTCAGGTGTAGAATTTATCCTTGTTATTAATGTTTGAATAACCAGAAACATCAGTTCAGGAGGCAAGCATTTACTTTATAATGTGATAAAACTAGAGGAAAAAGTTACATAATTCAGTTTGTCTTACAGTCATGGAATTTTATGAAGGAGAACCTCAAGAAATAATCTAATCTAAATTCATTCATTTAACACTTAGAAATATGTAGGAACGTATCAAATATATGCCACTAATTTTATTACATACCTACAATCACTAAGCCCCAAATTAGATGGCTGTTTCAGGATGACTGTTGACATTGCGTATCTATTATAGTATGACTGGCTTTCAAAAAAGGGTACTAGAACTAACTTTAAAAAAAAAAAGGAAAAGAAAAAAAGGCAGAGGTAAGTCTAGCTGTGGTAGTAGTTGACACTGCTATCAAGTAGGTTGAGTTTACATGAGAGCCTCAGTTCGATTCCTAGCCTGAGGTGTATGCAGAGGCTCACACCCATAGTCACAGCTACTCAGGAGGCTGAGGCAGGAGAATTGCAGCAGGTGAAACCCTGTCTAAAAAAAGGTGCAGGGGTGTTGTGGGGTAGAGTGGAAGGGATAAATATTACTCGAGTTGTGTTTCTATGAGTGACTAGTTATAGCTCTTTCATAGGTATTTCTTCAGTTTAGGGGCACATGAAACAAATGAGTCCAGGGGCCAGTTACAATGACAAAATGTTTGCTTTCGGAGACATAACATACTCAAAATTTCGCGTGTAATTGTATAGAATTCATAGATTCAAAAGACTTTTATAAGATGTAATTGAATTTTCAGTTGTTTTGTGGTACTGGTTTCTGTTGATATTTTCTTTTACCTGTTTCGTAAGAGCCCCCTCTTGTGGATGAGTTCCTTCCTAAACTAGTTTTTAGTCTATGAGATACAGGTTTTTAAAAGAAAACAAGAGGCCCAGTTAAAAATAAAATTGTATATGTACAAAATAACCTATTTCTCTGATGCTGAAAAATGACACTGTTGTATTTAGTCATTTATTGAAAGGTATAACCTTTACTTTGTTTCCAGTTCTATGCAAGTCACTTTGAAGACATTTAAATTTTACCCATACTTATTGAGAGAATATTATACTACTTGTTATATATAAATGATATTTTTGGTCATTATGTTTAAGTATAATATTTTCTGGTTCTTCTGGAGTTTGAGTCACTATAAGGGGACGCTTTGAATATCAAAGCACCTGTGGTATGAAAGGATCCTGAGTAAAAAGGTGTTTTTAATTTTGGATATCTTTGTATATTCGAATCATATTATCCTAGTAGTCCTAACCATTATGTATTTCACTTGCAAGAAGAAATTAAAATCCATATTTATTATGTTTCCTAGTTTATATAATTTTGTTAATTTTACTGTATACTTTAAAATTTTTTATTCATGTGTCCTTGAGAGGGAGTATTTCTGACAGGGTCATATCATTCTGTGATCTCCCCAGCCCTCCTGCTTGTCAGGTTCTTGGGTATGCGCACACACCTGGTATGTTTTTAGGCCGACAGAGGGATCCAAATCCTTAGTCGGCCATGTTGCCCCCAGCACTGCAGTTCAGTTTGCTACTGACTGCACCACAAAGTAAGACTCAT